CATATTTTATAAAAAATAATAAATATTAAGTACAGTATATTTGATTTAATGTAAGATTTAAACTTCCTTAACTTTTTCATACTTTCATTTTTTTAAAGTGCTTTCTGTTTTCTTTAAAACAAGACCAAAATTAGGTCTATATTCCAAAGCATTCTTGAATTGCAATCATTTAAGTTTGAATAGTGCATTTCAAAACGTGCTAAATAACAGCATGAACAACATATTACTTAATTTTCTCCTTCAGCACCGTATAACAATGTTCACAATTAATGTTAGCAGTATTCTTTTTTTTTCAGAAGAAAAGTAGGGAGAGCAGAGGCGAAAGTACCATTTTTCAGAAAAACATAATTTTAAAAGATGATGGTTTAGACAGAGATCTATTTTTGCTGTGGTCAGTCACAAGTGTGGTCTATCAATACCAGGTGGCATTTTGTAAAAATGTAGAACAACTTCAGTATAATTTCACTTTGAACTTAAGGGCTCATACACACAGGGACGAATATCGGCGCGCGTTATTCGGCAGCGTTTTTCAACGCGTTTTTTGTGTTCACACCCAAGCGATTTTCGCTGACGATGAGCCGAGTGAACATGCAAATTCATTCCCTGACATTAGATGGCGCCCATTTGCTCTGCAATACCACTCCATAACATTCTCTTTTATCAAGATTTTTGTAGTCGCTGTCGCGTTTGTCATATAGTTCTTTATGTTCCGACACCAACGAGACCAGCAGCTCTACATTCATCTTGCCTTGCATCTTCCTCGTCTTATTTCTTCCCGGCAGTGTAGACCATAGACTGTAAAAAAATATGGACAAGCATTCACAGACTTAGAACTGGGTATTTAAAATTCCCGTTACCCCCCAAAGTTAAAGAAGTACATTTTAAAATTTTAAATGGCATATATCCATCGAGTGAATATTTGCGACATAGATTTGGTTTTGACTCAAATAAATGTTTATTTTGTGATGATATTGGAGCATCTGTTTTTTCACTGTGTGTTTGTGGAGGCCTTATGGTCTGATATTTACGACTGGCTCTACCCAAAGATACCTCACCTCGAAGACCTCACTGAAAAGGACATTATTTATGGACGTTTAATGAATAATAACAAAGATAACTTCCTGGTTAATAATATCCTTATGCTGGGGAAATTTTTTGTACACAAATCAAAATACCTTAAGGTGAAACCAATGTTCTGTGCATTTCATGGTGAATTTGTTTCTTTTACAAAAGCCCTCAAAGTGATAAAAAAGAAAAATGCAATTAGTCTTTTATCTGTCATAGAAGAGTATGATTTAACAAAAAAACCTTAGCCCCTACTTTATTTTTATTTTATTTATTTATTTGAAGTTTATTTTATTTCATGCACCTGTGCTGTAATTATTTGTTTGTATTATGTAAAGAATTGTTACTATTGCCTTACTGTTTGTACATGAATAATTGTTCAAAAAAAAAAAAAAAAAAAAAAAAAAAAAAAAAAAAAAAAAAAATATGGACGTAGTGTCCGTGACGTCATCCGTAGGTTTCTGAAGAGCGTTTTTGAAGCCTAAAGTGGGCGGGGCCGGCCGTCGCCATCTTGGCAGCGCGTCACCTCTCGTCACTACCGGATAACAGAATGGGCAAAGAGGCGGGCCGTGGGTGGAGCTGAGGTGCTAATGCTATATGCTACTGGCCTCGCGCTAAAGTGATAGCTGTTTGAAGTAAAGCCAATAGTGAAAGTTCATGTTTTTGCCCTTTGAAATATTATAATAGTTAAAAGACATAACTAAAAGAGACTGTGTATCGTGATGTATTATTATTCTGCTATAAAAATGTATTATCATGCAGTAACTTACAATATTGCTCTGAGCTTGCGTGTGACAGTGATTCATGCGCATACATGTCAGTCAGCATGGCATCGCACGTCAAGTCCGTAAAGAGCTTTATTCAGTCCATTTTAAAATCTGCTTTTGGCCGCCTCTCATTTTCTCAAATGGGTTACACCAAAGATATTACCTCAGAAGTTCAAGTAAATGCACTAGAAATCCGCGCTCATTCAAGGGTGTGCATCTACTGCATGGACGGAGAGAAAGCACTGACACCTGCAGGATTTCATCTGACGGTACTTTTTATTTAACACTAAAAAGTAAAATAAGCATCTGTTCCGTGAGAGCAACAGTACCGCATAACGAGTGTGGTCTCTCTATCTATAGACTTTTTTAGCAAGGAAATTGTCAGACATTCATTAACGTAGTGCATGCGAGGAAAACAACTGGAAATACAGCGCTGGTTGTTCTCTCCATACCAGTCTATGCTCCATACTCGACGACAACAACGGAATCCAACGGCGTGGGCGAAGGTATAATGTGTGTATTAAATTGTATGAAATAATCCCGAAAAAAGCACAAACACGGCAGAGATGGCAAGTACAGCAGCTGCTGGAATTAGCTGAGAGTGACGTTAACAGACAGAGACAAACGGCCGCAATCCACCTGTCACTCAAGTGGCCACGCCCTTAATTAAGCAGGCTTAATATAATTTAAACGGATGAGTTGTAAAAAAATTCACCCCCCTCACAGTTGTCATGAAGGGCAAAATAAGCTATAAAGACCAAAACCACTTTTTGCTCCAGGCTGTAAACATGTTTTTTTCTGCTGTAAAGTTGGGCATTTTAACATGGGGGAGATGCAGATTTGACTCACTTCTGCAGCCTGCCTCCAGCGGTCAGTTGATGAATTGCAGTTTAATTCTCTTCCGTGTTGGTTTCAAGAGAGAGACAGGTGCTGCGTCCCAATTCGCCTACTTATACTACGCCCTAAAAGTATGTACTCTTTTTGTGAAGAAAAAGTACATACTTTTGAGTGTGTAGCAAAAGAGTAGGCAATCTTTGGGACATACTACTTCGTCATCTTTAACGGACAGATCTGTCGCTGCCCTGTCAATCATCTCGTCACAGTTAAAATCCTCCATTCAATCTAATATAACTTCTTACCATTTCGGAGAGAATTGTTGTCGCACGTTCATCTGCCAGTCATGGGTCTTTCATGCGGAGACTCCCCTCATGTGTTTGGAATTTGAATATAATAATGCATTTAAAAGTTAATGGCTAAACGTATCTTTGCAAAAGTTCACAATGCTGCTGCAGATGCAATATAATGTGGACAACATTGAATAAATACATTTTCGTCAGGTTAGATACTGATAATTAATCACTCAAACCCCTTTATCTAAACCTCTCTACACAACCGCCGGACTCGTGCGTCCTCCATGTCTGTAGTTTTTGAACACTTTTCATTCGTGTTTGTAGTTCTAACCGAATCCTCGTCCAACGCGCGATGGGATTGTGGGCAATATCAGCCGTTAGAGTGCGCATCGATCTGCACTTCGGATTCTGACCGGATATAGTAGACCATCCGGGTCTCTTTGGGACACTCATTTCAACATACTACGATTTGGGACGTACTAATTCTATTTTCGAATACTATTTAGGACGGATAGTATGCGAATTGGGACGCAGCAAGGGAGGTTGCCGCTTGGTGTAGACGCATCTTGGCGTATATCTTCTTCGCCGTTACGTATGTGTGCTCGGCAAGACCGTTTTGTGTTTGAGCGCCCCCAAGTTTTGTTTTACTGTAACTTCAGAAGCTCCAGACACGCGTCAAACTAAAAAAACTAACCCGAGGCGTTTTTAAAAAAAATGACGCTTTACGCGTGGCGTTTTTCGTGTCGGTGTGCACACTCACATTGGCGCCCTTTGTTTAGTCACGAGGCGTTAAACGTCGGCGAATATCGCGCGTGAAATTCGTCCCGGTGTGAACAGGCCTTAAGACTGCTCATGTTACTTTTGACCCCGTCAGTTGGGACAAAAGTAACTCACGGGTGGGTCAAAAGTAACAAAAATATACAAGCTAGATTTTTTGTGTTACTCTTGTTTTTTTGTTTTTAGCCTAAATATACCTGAGTATGACCTTGTTAACATTTAACTGCAATTAATTTTGGCCTTTATCTTTGCAAAAAATTGTTAATTTACATTTTTTCTTTTTAAATTTCAGTTTCATCAAATGTTTCAAAAGTAACCCAACAGTACAAACTTGAATTGTTTAGAACATTGTAATAAATAATGTTAAAAATAAGTTGTTAATCTAATTCATTATCAATTATCGAATTGAATTGATTAGACATGTTTTATTGAAATTGTAATAAACAAAACAAACAAATGGTTTCAAGTTTGTTATAATTAAAAGCATTTGTTCAACCAAAAAACCCTGTTTCATTAATTTAACTGATGATAATAATAATAATAATAATAATAATAACCATAATTTAATAATACAGTTTATTTAATAATTGATTAATACTGTAAACCGTGATATTTTCTGAGACGTTATCATACTGTAAAAATCTCCTACCATTACAACCCTACACGGGAGAGTCCCCCACCCCCGCTGTTAAAAAATTAACTCAGTAACTTTTACTCTGAGTAAATTTTAAATGAGCTACTTTTTGCTTTTACTTGAGTAGATTTTTAGACCGGTAATTTTACTTGTACTTAAGTAAAATTTCATTGAAGCAGTAGTACTTTTACTTGAGTAGAATATTTTATTACTCTTTCCACCTCTGTTGGCTCACTATCTTTATATCATAATGGAGTTGGATGTTAGTCAGTAGGGTTCTTGCTCTTCTTTTGGGCCACAAAATGTGTCCATTGTCTAGACTAGAGCAAGTTTGATTTAGTTTACCCCGAAATGTTAATTAATACATTAATTAACAACAAGCATGTACTAACGTGTAGTTAATATGGTATATTCAAGCAGGAATTCATATGACTCATGCATGTCGTAGTTAAGGTTAGTTCCTCATTACATGTCTTAACTCATGATTAGTTAATAGTAAAGTAATTATTAATTCAGGTATTAGTACATGATTCTTCATGTACTATTATTGTAAGTGTTACCCACGGATCACACGAGGAAAAAGATGGATGACAGGAAACAGAGATTTGAAAACATTATTTAATGCACACGTGTTAAATGTGCCGTTTCGCACACTGGCATTAAACCTCTACATAATCATCCTCACTTGCATCCGGATATCTCAGTTTGAAGTCAAAGAAAGAAATTAGAGGTTTCCATGCACTCTTTGGCTTTTCTGAATGAAGCCCCATAAGTCTGAGAAAGAAGAAACAAAGACAGTCAGTAACAAGTAACAAGTCTGTACAGATTGTCAATTAATATAATGTAACTAACTTCGTAAAGGTAGATAGAAAGGTAAATAGACTTCATTTTTTAAATCATTAATTGGCTGTTTCTAAGGAGAACTTCTCAGAATGCCTGAATTGTCATCATTAAAAGATTTCAACTCTTTAAAGTTGATCAATCCTCCACCTGAAGAAGTTGAGAGCTGGGTCCTTTTTCAAGCTCCTCCAGATCTTCCCCAGCAGTTGCACACTGGCATTAATGGAAACATTTGCAGCTTTATTATGGAGTGAACCGTGACTGGAATCACTGTAATCCTTATTTATACCATCTGGATAATCAGCAAAACCTCCATGGCTGCACTTTCCTGTCAAAATGAAATCACGTTAACCTTTTCCTCCTATAGAAACCCATTGTTTAAAAAAAAAAAAAAAAATTATTGTAAATGTTCCTTGATATTAAGTGTCACGAGTGGGCTGAGGTTGAAGATGATGCGAGGCAAAGCAGATCTAAAATGCAACGTTGTTTTTTATTATACAAAACAAAAGAGTATAAACTGACAGCAAAGGTAATCTAAACAAGAGAAAGTCAACAACAGTGTGCACTGGCACAGACAACGAGGGACTGAACCTGAGGGGAATGTATAGACAAGAACAGATGAGAAACAGGTAAGAGTAATCAATGAAACAATGAGTAACCATGGCAATGGATGAAAAAAGGCAAACACAGGAAATGAAGAACAAACAAAGTCCTTGAAAATAAAACTGAAAACACAACAGATTGTGACATCAAGACAGTGATATTCAGTATAGACCTTATAGTAAATAAGGTATTAATTAATGTGTATAAACAAGCAGATGAGCCCAGAATATGAACACAGTCAAAGTATATTGAGGTATATAAAGGGGTCATATAATGGTACATGCACTTTTACAAGTTGATTGTACTGAAATGTGTGTTGGCAGTGCCTGTACACAACCATCATATAATGATAAAAATCCATCCAGTGTTTTTGTTTTAATCTCCTTATATGTTTTCCCCTCCCTCAAATTGAGCCGTTCGATTTTGTGATGTCACACTGTCGGACGCCCCTCCCACGATTGTTGATTGACAGCAGCGTTTCAACACACCCCCGCCCTGAGCGAGCTGTCATCATAGTCCGTCATTGTTGATGCGCTGGAGCAGAATGGCGTCTAAGCGATTGTGGTGTTCTGTTCTTGGGTGTAATAACGAACACAGTCATTTTAATGTTCCTAAATCCGAACCGCTGAATACGCAGTGGCTGAGTTTGTTTTCGAAGGGAATATTCCCCACGATCAACGTCACTGTTTTCATGTTTGCGCGAATCATTTCTCAGCAGACTGCTTTATATAAGAGGGTCAGTGTAAAGTTGGTTTTGCTAAGAAGCTGCTCCTGAAAAAAGAATCGGTACCAACTATTCGTGTCCCCGCTGCACCTCCAGAAGAAGTGAGTGTAAAGTTTTATTAACCTTTATATTAATCTTTGCAAATCGCGAAAAAAAGTTGTAGCTGTAACATCAATCTGTCAATGAACTAACGTATCAGTAAACACATAAGTTAGCGTTCGTATCTCACTACTCTATCCTGCCAGTACATACAAAGATAGATCAAAGTGACATTACGTTAACCAACCATTCAGAAACGTCCTGTTCGAGCCTTACTTGTCGAACTTCTTCGGGCCGTCATCTTTTTCCGGGTCCGACTCCGGTTCAAACTGATACGGTTGCACAGATGTGTCCTCAGAGACTCCCACTGCCATTCTTTCTCCAAAATATACCCTCAACTGTTGTCAAGGCAACACTCCACGTGCGTTGGTCAAAACGCCCCACAGAACAGTGAGGCGGGTTGAGCAAAGCTCATGATCATTTAAAGTCATATGCACTGAAACGGCGTGCTGAAAACAGAGCTGTTTTTGACCAGGTAAAATTAGTGTTTTCTTACAATACTAATGAGAATTAAAGTATATTACAATGTTTTCATTTTAGACCCTAAAGATTCATATTAACTTGTACAAAAATGGCATTATATGACCCCTTTAAGAAAACGCTTAATGTGAAACTTTGCACTCTGTGTAGTTCATTCAGTAAATGTCACTCGATTCTACACCTGTAATTTAAAAGTCTTACCTTTTGGTCTGGATTTTAGAGCGTATCCTGATGTCAGAAACTTCCCCTTAATAATGCTTTCCTTAATATTTTCAGAAAGTCCATTGGGAAAGTCATCACATGTCTCCATGTCCTCTTCTGGGAGAAAAATTAAAATGTTTGATTGCTTTACATGTTTCAGAAGCAAACACGCACACACTTACTTGCAGCGTTGGGTATGTTTTCTTCTGGATTGATCAGGGCAGTGAAGGGATCGGTGTAATTCAGCTCAATCCAGTCACTGTGACTGTAGAAATCCTTTCATTTATCAAACAACACAAGTGTGAGTAAATAGATGTTCAAAATTTCATTTCATATGATCAATTTAGTATAAATCAATCTTTATCTCTCCAGTTTAACTGAAATCTGTTGGTCATATTGATTGAATAAATTAATACTTCTATTTCATATTTGCAATGATGCAGATTTCACTCACCTGTAAAGTATGGAGGACTTTCCCAAGCTCCTCTCTTGCGTCATCAAATTGATATTTTTCTATGTATTTTGTGATAGCCTTAATTCGACTGGTTATTGATTGTTTTCCCTTCTGAAATAGTTCATTGTCAAAATGTTCTTCCGGATGATTACCAGGAATATTTGCTATATCTCTCATCACATTGTAATATGAGATCGTTCTTATGGCTGTTTCAAAGTTACTTGCAAAGTCTTTTCGATTGCAGGCCTCTGCCAGTGTCTTTGAGTCCAGTGGATGTGGCTGTGTTCAAGAAAGTAAAACAAACACACATTCTTACTATATGTTCATTGCCTACTCCAAGCTTATGAACAAATTTCATATTTGAAATCACCAATGAAATCTGACAACTTGACTATCTGAAATCTCTCAAACATTTAAATCATGACAAAAACAACAAAACATTGCATTTTTTAGACTGGACCAAGCTAATGCGCAAGCGTGCGTCTCAGAACACTGCGTGAAAAACAGTACGCCAACAGAGTAGGAGGTCAAAATATTTGAAAGTAGGAGGTCAGTATTTGAAAAAAACTAGGTTAAAGCCCCCGGATGACCTACTACTTCCGGCGAGATTCTGAAGTGTGCATTCGATGGACACTTTACTATCCTATGAGGCCACAGGAGAGGATTTATAAATGTAGGTGAAAGGACGCAACTGTCGCTGGTAGGTCACATGATAATGTCACGTAATAATAACATGGCGGAATGTAGTGCATCCGGATTACATTCATACTTCACCTTTTCATGCTATATAGAACATACTTTAACTGCCACAAAGTAAGTTCAAATACAAATGTAGTACCTACTCGGACAGTAGGTACGAGATTTCGGACGCAGCTTGACTGTTTCAATAGCAACCAGAGCTTCTAACGGCAGCTGCAGTGACTTTACCAATCAGTGATTGGCTCTTTTACTTAGCACGTGAACACACCAGTAGTCCAGCCTTCTATGGTAATTATGGTAAATACCAAAAGCCGACGTGGAAAATGCACATGAACACCCCCTCATGTGGTATTTTCCACTGGGCAGCTTGTAGAATATTTTGATGCACGAGATGAGATAACCTTTGACCTTTTCAAAATGGCGGAGAGCAACGCGAGAGTCGTGAATGGTAAAAACATGTACTATTCATGATCTAGAAAATATTCAGCATATTATTTACCGTTTGAGTTTTGATAAATCATTTTCTTGCTGTAGCAGATGACTTAAGCAATCTAAAATAGTTTTAGCTAAATAACAGGTCTGGATCTCCATCTTTTTACCACATTACAACAACAAAAGCACTTGAACGCAACACACTGGTAAATACCAGTTCACAAGTGGAAAATATCATATTTTCCATAGCACGTGAACGCACCATTATTCCACCATATTGCATGTTGCACTTTCTCCCATTCATGAGTGCACCATCTTTGTATATCTATAGTCTTTGAAATAATTCCCTTTTTTTGATGATGATGATGATAATCAAAATGATTCAAATCAAACATGTTGGGATTCTGTGAAATCTTGTCTTAAATAGGGCATTAAACAGTCTTAAACAGTAAAGGTGACCAGGAGTATATTACATAAATAGAATTATAACATTGATGCAATTTAAAGTAAAACTGACCTATTCTGCTATCAAACAGTTTGAATATTATGATAGAAGCTTATGTCTATTTTAACTTTAAAAACAAAATACAATCATTGTTCTGTACAATATATACATATATTCGTACCGGTTTGAAGGCTGTGTCAACACTCTCGCAGACCTTTTCAGTCGCACGTAGGATGGCCATTCTTGTGATGTCCTGATGACTTTTAGAGTTTGGCATTTGTAGAATATGAAAGGTCTGAGCACCAATCAGAAGACTCAACAGAAGAAATGTGCTCCTCATTTTCAGTTGATTAACAATTCACAATATCACGGATGTTCTGAAAAACAACTGATGGTGGGTGGGGTTTTTAAACAATTTTCTTTTTAATCCATTCATTTATATTTTACACTGTTGGTGCTCCTTACACATTGTAAAAAGTTGTAGATAAAACAAAGATTTGATAACATTTTACAATAAAATACTATTTTAATCTTTCTACTTTAAAAAAAAGTGTGTTTACTTCAATGTTATTTGTGGTTTCATTGTAATTATTTGCGAAAACTACTAGCAATTTCTGACTTAAAGCGGTTTGTACTTCAATTTTTTTTTCAGTGCAGAAAAATGTGAAAATACAAAGATTATTTCAAGCGTATTTATATTTACCTCAACACAGTATTCTCAACTCTTCCTCACACAGCAAAATCCCCAGTGTTAAATTAACACTGCTTTGTGTTTATATGGGAGCCGCCAGCAGAGTGTTAAAGAGTTAATTAGATAATTAACTGATTAATTGAGTGATGATTGTTTGATTATTGAAGACACCTGATAATAACAAGCAGAATCGCTGAGGAAAAGAGAAAAAATTATATATGCTAAATTGCTGAGTAATAGAATAATTCTAATATCAACAGTAAATAAGAAGCAGCAGGAGATGACTCTGCAAATTAATAACCTTGGGGGTGGAAAGATTAAAGTGCACATACCAGGAATGGCTGCAAAATCAAGAAGAGTGATTTCACATGTACCGCTGGAAATGTCCATAGAGGATGTGAAGAATGAGATAAAAAGGTAGAAAAGTACTAGAAGCTAAAAGACTCCAAACGAACAACAGTGGTGTTAAAACAGATTGCTTGTCTGTGCTACTTGTTTTTGAAAAGATAATGCCTTTTGAAGTCCAAATGGGATGAAGTAACTACAAAGTTAGGGAATATATATTCCACAAACGCTAAAATGTCAGAGAATGGGACAAACAGCACAACAATGTAAATGGAGACAAAGGTGCGCTAAATTCGAAGGAGAACACGACTATAGAAAGTGTAAAAAAGGATGCTAAATTCACTTGAAAATTAAAGGCAGGGGTGTTTCATTAGGGTTGGAGATGAACTGTGCAGGACAGTCGATCAGCAGGAGCAGGGTTGGGCACCCCTGTTGTACAGTAATGTTTATAATTTTCCACAGAATTTCTTTAAAGTCAATCTGATAAAAAAAAACATAACTTCAAAATCTTTCATGTAGGCACACACAGACATCAAGATTCAGCGTATAAATCTCAGCAATGGTGACAAACAGCATTTTTAGATAAACAGATCAACTCTGAACACAAGAAAACAAGCTACTAAAAAGTCATGTAAAACAGCAAAAATAAAAAAAATAGTAAGAATAAAGGAAATTACTAAGACAATTAAGCTCATTATTTATTCATGCAGCAAAGCATGATGGGAACCATGAATGAGTTTTGATTGGTGCCACCCATAATGCACTGCAACATGTTTTACAATTGTCACCATTGTGGAGATTCACAGGCTGATTCTTGATGTCTGTGACGAGTTTGAATAAAAGAAAGAAATAAAGTTTTTGAATCAGAACAACTTTTAAGAAATTCTTTGAACTACACTGAGAATGCAAAAAAAAAGAAAAAACGGTAACACTCTTAGGTACTGTCCTCATTAACTCTAACACTGTTTTAACACCCTGCTGGTGGTTCCCATATAAACACAGAGTGGTGTTAATTTAACACCGGGGAATTTACTGTGTATGACTCCATGATATGACTCCATGTTATTAATTAATTTAAATAAGATAGGAATTTGAGATAGGTTTTATAATTGGGTCCTAGACTTTTATCAGAAAGAAGATTTTGGGTAAAAATGATGGGGCAAGAAAAGAGGGTAGGCATAGGAATATACATACCAACCAACATTTAATGTAAGTATTGGGAAAAGATTATCTGATCAATTATCAGTTTATACGGCAGAGATGATGGCGATTATTGTAGGGGGTGGAGGAAGTGAAACCAGACAAAGTGATTTGTTGTGTTGACCCTTTAGCAGCTTCATACAGTATTAAAAATATGAAATCTAACAGAGAAGATTTAATGTTAATTCATCAAAGTTTATTTAGACTGTGGAAGCTTAGGATAGATGTGAGATTATGCTGGGTACCTGCTCATGTAAACATAAAAGGGAATGAGAGAGCATGGCTTTCTGTGGAACAGGAATGATTGTGGTAGACTTTAAGCAGAAAAGGAACTTGTCAGTATGAGGGGAAAGATTGAGCAACTCCAGGCTCTTACAACACTTACCAGGAAAAGATTGACTTCTTATTTCTCCTTTCTGTCACTGACTTTGTCTTGACAAAAGCATTAAAGAAGCAGTAGTCATTGAAGAATGAAGAAGAAAAACTTTCAACAAGGATTTATGTTTGTTTCTTAACATAGATATTTGTGATTCTCATGGTTATTCATTTTTGAAACGTTAATTTTGAGACCTTGATTCAGAAAGTGAAGGTTGCTGGAGATCTAAGAGAAAATGGCTTCACTATCTGAAGACGATTTTTCTTGTCGCATGTGTAATAAAATCTTCATGGCTCCTGTTCTTCTGTCATGTAGTCACAGTTTCTGTAAAGAGTGTCTTCAACAGTTCTGGAGAACCAGGAACACTCAGGAGTGTCCTGTCTGCAGGAGAAGATCCTCAAGAGATGATCCTCCATGTAATCTTGTGTTAAAGAACCTGTGTGAGTCGTTCCTGAAGGAGAGAGATGAGAGGCGTTCATCAGTGTCTGAGGAGATCTGCAGTTTACACAGTGAGAAACTCAAACTCTTCTGTCTGGAGGACAAACAGCCTGTGTGTTTAGTGTGCAGAGATTCACAGACACATGTTAATCACACATTCAGACCCATCTGTGAAGTTTTTCCAGTTTTAAAGGTAAGACAGTTTTACAGATGAGGATAAACACTTGTTAAAGCTTATGTATTATATAGTATAAGATCATAATAAAGTCTGTTATCTTATAGATTTTCTCTTTAAATTCTAGGAGGAGCTCAATACTGCACTGATGTCCTTACAAGAGAAACTCAAACACAATGAAAACATTAAAGGAGAGTTGGAGAAAACAGTTTGCCACATCAAGGTGAGGATTGATTCTTTTAACATATTCACAAATTTGATACTAACATAATTGCATTTCTATATTGAAACAAAATATATTCACACACACCCATGTTCGCAGTCATTCACATATGACAATGATCAAGCGTGGATGCCTCTGTCAGCATGGTTACTCAGTAGTGGGTGGGACTAATGTGCCAGTGCTAATCCCATTGGCTAGTGCTCACTTTCTGTGTTTTCATCTGAGGGATAGTTGCACGTTGGAGTAATGGTTGTGCCAAAAGGTACAATGTAAAACCTTGCTGCAAAAAAAGGCCACATTCTGACAATAACATACCATTTTCCATCAAAACAGTAATATACCATAGAAAACCATGTATTTCTGGTAATATTTGTCGTTTTCAAGAAAATAGCTTACAGGAATATACTGTGAATTAACAGCACTCAAAGTCGACACTCAGTGGCTGTGTTCCAAATTACACCCTATAGCCTCATTCACTGTTCCCTAGTACACTAATTGAATCCACTTGACATAGTGAATAAACAGAAGTGAGTGAATTCAGACACTGATGAACACTTGACACGCAGAATTACTGAAGGACAGAAACAAGAACAGAAAAAAGAGAAGAATTAAGTCAAACTTATGTTTAAATAATGTGTAATGGCTTGAAGTAAGTTGTAGTAGTTCTGTTTCTGCTCGTCTCTTCTCTTTTTCTGTTCTTATGTTCCTCTTTCCTTCAGCGATTCTGCTTGTTAACAGCAGGTGTTCATCACTAATGCTCAAAAATCACTTACATATTCAATTTATTATCTCATTGAAACACTGCATAAATTATACTTTTACTCTTTGTAGTGTGGACACTACAGGATGTTCCTGTGGGGTTGAAAGGGTTAAAGGTATAAGATAAAACGACAAACCCACGAACACTAATGTACTGTAAAACCCTAAGAGTCAAATATACGAAATAAAACAAGTTAATTTCACTTAGATATTCCTTGCACTTAGTAGATTTTTTTTTATTTGAACTCAATAAAATGACAGTAAATGCTGAAATGGAGTGTCATTTTATGTTTTGCACATAGAAGAGTTCTGTTAGTGTTTAATGTTCTGTTGGGTTTTAAAGGGTTTCTGTTGAGTTTTGTGTGTCACCATAGTTTTGAAGAGTAGAGCCTATGCTTCAGTCCAGCAAAAGACCAAGAACCATTAATGTTATGCTGCATGTTGCTTTATTTAACAGGCAGTGATTGTGTAATTGCTGATGCAATGCAAATCTCTTTACTTAAAGTATTCTTAGTGAACTCAAAATAAATAAGTTCACAGTAATACTATGTTCACATTATTAGCACATTATAAATATCAATTTAAAGCTCCAGTCCGTAACTTTTTTTGGGTTAAAAATATCCAAAATAAATTTTTGAGCAAGTACATTACCAGCCAGTGTTCAAAACTATCTGCTTGCCTTAGCTATACTATTTCCGCGGGAGATTCGAGCATGTCTTTGCATCATTACGTCACATCTGTACACATAAAGAAGAGTCTCGGCTAGTAGGCTAAATTGCGTGTGAGGATGTTGGAGGTGGAGATTTATTGCCTTTTCTCACAGCACTTAATATAATTCAACTTTTTAATTTCATGGCGGATCCAGAAAGGTTCAAACGACAATCACCAGTGACAACTAGAGATTCACCCGCTGTAAAATGCAAAAGACTTTGGACTGACAGTTTGGAAAAAGAGACTGAAACCGGCCCATGCGAAAACAAGGATAGATATTGGAAGGACATTAAATGTAGTCACGCAATACTGATGTTGTTAAC